TGGACAGTCCAGGGTCCTGTCGGGGTGGACAGTCCAGGGCCCTGTCAGAGTGGACATTCCAGAGCCCTGTTGGGGTGGACAGTCCAGGGCCCTGTTGAGATGGGCAGTCCAGGACCTGTCGGGGTGGACAGTTCAGGGCTCTGTCAGGGTAGACAGTCCAGAACCCTGTTGGGGTGGACAGTCCAGGGCCCTGTCAGAGTGGACAGTCCAGGGTTCTATTGGGGCAGACAGTCCAGGGCCCTGTCAGAGTGGACACTCCAGGACTCTGTTGGGGTGGACAGTCCATGGCCCTATCAAGATGGGCAGTCCAGGGCCCTGTCAAGATGAGCAGTCCGGGCTCTGTCGGGGTGGACAGTCCAGGCTCTGTCGGGGTGGACAGTCCAGGCAGGGCGCTCACAGCCCTGCTCCTGCTCCTGGGGGTGTCACTGCTTGTGTGCTCCTGTCAGAGTTCCTGGCAGCCTGGGGCTCTGTCTGCATCTCCCTCCCCCATCTCCAGGCTCAGAGCTGAGCCCCTGGCCGGCTCCGATGTCTGGCCAGTCATTGGGAGCTGGGGCTGGGCAGGCTTTCCTCACATGGCTACTTTCCATCTCAGCACAATCCCAGTTATCCCCAAAGCTAGTGAAGCATACTAAAACTTGATTACCAAAAACTGCATTTACTCTGATGTCTTTAGTATAATAATCTTGAGTATCATTTGTTATCAAATTAGAGGTGACTTCTCCTGCAGTAGCAGCACTCTGTCTCAAGTACCCCAACTCTTATCAGTGCATTGGATTTGGAGCACGCTCACCACCTCCCTCCTTCCTTCCCTCTACCTGCCTCCTTGGGCAAATGCATTGCCACAAACAGACAAGTAAGACACCCATGCAAAACTAAGTTAAGTCAAATAATTTCACGTTGTAGTAAAAACACAGCAAGGAAACAGGGAAGGCATCTCAAGGTCCATGTGGATGGCCTGTCCGGGCCCCTGGTCATCGACACGTCCTCGCCACCAGCCTCTATGCGGTATGTGCCGCCCCTCCTCCTCCTGCCTTCCCACCGCTCTCGTCCCTTCCCGTCTCCCGGAACTTGGCCACGTGGCTCCCATCTTCCGAGTGTCGAGGGTGTGAGTGTGTGCGTGCGCTCGAGTGGCGCAGAGAGGCCACCGGAGGGGTGGCTCTCAGACACTCCGGAGAGGACTCCCTGGGCCCCGGGGCTTATTGAGAGGGAGTCCAGGTTCATTACCCTCCCCATACCCTGTGTCCAGCTCCTGCACCTCCTCTCCACTGCACCACTGCTTTACCCAGGCTCCTGGACAGACACCCCGTCTGTCCCCAGTGGCTCCTTCCCCTGACTTCCTCCTTTTGACCACCACTACCTCGCTGTGTCTCCCTGAAGTGGCCATTGCCCCACAGAAAGTCATTTTGGAGGAACCAAAATGCCAGAGAACTGACTGTCCCCACTCCTCACACCTGAGGTGCTGCCGGGCCAAACCAGGGCAGCAGACCCAGGAAGGGGCCGAGGCGTGGAACTTGTACACATGGAGGGAGCAGAACAACACAATGTGGTAAGTAAGTTCTTACTATGAGGCACTGGTGGCAGGTGCTGGAAAAGCACCTCCTCAGGAATTCTCAGACATGGCTGGTGGGGGAGTAAACAACTCTTTGCAAAACAATGTGGTAACAGATGCCAAATGCCTATAGCTGGGCAGAAACAAGTCCTGAGCACATGTGCACAAACAAGCTTACCTGAAAGACCATCAGTGTATTATTTAACATAGGAAAGCTAGCAATAAACTAATGGCGTAAAATGAAGTATTTTTAGGCTGACAGTGAAAGGAATACTGTGCGCTTATCCACAGCTTTCCAGCGTTGGGGGTGTTGCTCAGTGGTACAGCACATTGAGGCCCTGAAGTCTATCCCCATACACGTGTGTGCACACACATGTGTACACACACGCATGCATGCATGCGCACACACTTCATACTAATTTTAAAACTATTTAAGGAAAAAAGTGGTATATAAATTTATAAAATAAGTTGAACCTTATGAAACTGACAGATAAACAAGATATTGGCTCAACCATTAAATTTCAATTCATTATTGCTATTCTCTTAAGAAAAATCTTTAGTCTTCATTTAAAAGCTTTTTTGACTTAATTTTTATTCTTGCAGAACTGAGAATTGAATTCAGAGCCTCTAAAACACTATTTTTAGGGGGGAAAAGACATCTGGAAAGAAATTACCCCAATGGTGCAAATGTACCCCATTGGTTAAAATAATTTCTGGTGAAGTTTTGCTTCATATTTTTCTGTATATCAGTTATTATATTAATTAACCAATAGTAGCTGTGAGCATTCATGCTGTACACATGTTCTGTGATGAGCCCAGGCCACTGTTACAGTGCTATCTCATTTAACGAGTGATACCTACGTCCTCTGGCCACTGAAAGAACCCCATGGGCATAGGAAGACATTCTGAGCAGACGCCATGGCTGTCTGTGGAGCCTCTTGCTCAAGATGAGGTCACCTGATGGTGACATGAGTTCCTGCCTTCAGAACAACCACTCACCAGGCCCCTGGCGTGGCGTGCTCATGTGTCTGGGGAGGAAGGGCACAGATGCTTGGGAAGAAGGCACCATGCTGTGCTGCTTCTTGAGCAAGGTCACACTTGGCCCTGTCAGCCACAGACTCGAGTCAGAGTCAGAGTCTCCCGTGCCCTGGACACCAGCCTCACACCGACCATGTGGGGCCCTCAGCTCGCTGTCTCCTGTGGTCTGTGAATTCCTTCCTCAGTGTAACACAGACGGATGTGGCTCCGGGGAAGACGGCCGGCATGGAGTGCCAGCCAGCGTCCCCGCTCTCCAGTGCTGGGAAGGTGGAATCGAGGGGACCGGCCGGGGACGCCTGGGCGCCAGGCCCTAGCACCCTGGAAGGACTTGCCTCTGCAGCTCTACCCAGTACCACCACTTCCAAGACCACTGCCAAAGAAAAAATGCCCAACAAAGTGTCCCTGGCGGAGCCCCGAGCAGCGGGGCAGGCCAGGGGCCGGCCTCCAGTCAGCCTCACCCTGTGGACTGTTTTCAAAGGAAGTCCACTGCACTCCTGCCAGGACCATCTCCTGCCTGCCACAGCAGCACAGGGACCACTGCCCCCACTGCTCCCCAGTTACCCAAATTCCACCCTTTTAAACCGCCTCAGAGCCCGAGTCCTGCCTCTCTGCTCCCCAAGTGCACGAATTTCCGACTGAAGGACTGAACAAACGCAGTTTAAAATCTCACTAATCACTCAGTCCATAAAACGGTGACCTTTCTGTCTCTCATTCTTCCAGCAAGTAGAAATCTGATGGGTTCCACTATTAAATTCTCCGGAGCACGAGCGACTGGGGCAGGGGAGGGGGACATATTTTATAAAGTCCAAATGTCACAAGCGGTGGCCTGGCAGTGAATGTGGCTCCCGACAGCCCCGGGGACCGTGTGCAGACCCTGTCTGTCAGGTGACGCAAGGCGCTGGGGTCACTGCTTTGCCGTGCCTGTTAGCTTGTCTATTTCACACAGAATCTCAGAACCAAAGGCAGCAATGAGTCAAAAATACTCCACAAATCTCATTAGGGCACTCTCTCAAGCAAAGCCATTTGGATAAACTCAAGAGCCCGAATGAGCTTAGTCCGCTGGTCTCCCTGCCCGGGAAGGCGCCGCTAATCCCTGCAGGTTGGTGTAACGCTGTTGGTAAATTGTGCTCCCTGGTCTCCAAAGGAAAGAGATGGGCGAGCCGCACAATAGGATGAGATGGATTTTAGCTCTTGTTTCTCAAGAGTTCACCGCGCCATGGGGTCTTACAGAAGGCAGACTACATCTTTCAGAGCTGGAGGGGGAGGTCGGTGCCGGGACTGTTCACACATTTCTTTGGGATCTTCCCGAGGCCAGCTGCCTGGGGGCAGGCAGAGGAGCTCTGGGAGTCGGAGCTCCCTGCCTGCCGGCCCCGGGCAGACCTGCAGCCCCGGGCAGCCCCGCAGCCCCGGGCAGGGGCAGACGATGTCCCCCTCCCCGGGACAAGCCATAAACCCTACTCTGCCCTGACTCCACAGAGACAGGAGCCCAGTGGAGGGAGAACAAGCAGCCCTTCCTCAGCGGCTCTAAAGCCTCTACAACCAGCACTGTGCTGGGGCGGGGGTCAGGGGTCAAGACACCAGCCCTACCCAGGGCAGCCACCGGCCCCGGAGCCGGGCATGGCAGGAAAACTGGCAATGTGGCTGAGACCAGAGCCACACCGGGCAGCTCGAGGGCCTCCAGGGAGGGGAGCCTGACAAAGACAGGTCAGCAGGGTCACCTGTGTCTAGTTAGAGCACCCCTGCAGTACCTCAAGCCCGGAGTGTCGGCCAGCCGTGTCTGCACCTGAGTGGATGCTATGTAAGGGACAAACCTTCCAATTCCTGGTGGGAAGAGGTGTCCGGGCCTTCCAGGAAGGGGCAGAAAGCCCTTCCCCATGCGTCCAGCCTGGCTCTGCTCCAATCCATCCCAGACCAGGCGACCAGTGCTGGAGACGGGTTCGTGGCAGCAATGCTCTTGCTCTTCCCACGGCCCTGGGCTGCTACCCCTGCTGCTGGGGGGAGGCTGGGGCCCCGGCTTCTTGGGGAGGCTGGAGCTCTGGCTGCTGGGGGGAAGCTGGGGCCCCGGCTGCTGGGGGAGGCTGGAACTCTAGCTGCTGGGGGGGAGGCTGGGGCCCCAACTGCTGGGGGAGGCTGGGCAGGAAATGGCCAGGGTGGGGGGAGGGGGCCTCAGAAGCCAGAGGGAATTTGCTTTTGAATCCACAAGGCCATTACAGTGTTCATTATCATTATCTTCGCACATAGGTTCCATGACTGCCTTCTGTGTGCAGCCTCATTTTGTGAAGAAGTCCAACCGGGCTGCAATATTGTCTCTGGTTCGTTTTATCCCCAAAAGCCAAAGCAAGAAATAAAACTCAATGGAAGGATGAATTCAGAATGAATTTAGATATCAAACACAATCAGGATTGTCCGAATGTTATTTAAGCGCAGTCACATTACTTGGCGGCCGGAGCAGCTCTGTGAGGTTAGGATGGCTGCCGGGCTCGTGCGAGCGGTGAGCTTCGGGAACGGGCGCCCAGCTGCCACGGCAGGGGTCTCTCCCACACGAGCAGGTGCCTCCTGCGGCACATACCTTTCCACGGGGCCCCGTCTCCCCTCCACACCGAGGGCCCCCCTCCACGTGTGCCCACCCATGCCTGTGACACACTTTCTCAGCGGGGCTCCTGAGAACCCCGCTCTCGGGCCGCGCTGGGCCGGGTCCTTACCCCTCTCTCCAGGAGCATGTCTCTGAAGCGTGTGGCCCGCTCCTCCAGGGGCAGGAGGACCTGGGCGGGCGGCGCCCCGCTGCCCTTGTCCTCTTGCTGAACCTCATCTGGCCCACGGCTCTCACCACCGTCCGTCCTTGAGGAGCACAAGACACAGAGTTAACCATGCTGGAGACATCCAGCGATTTCATCACAGATGATCAGAGATGGCTAATAAACAAAGCATCTTTGGGGAAAAAAAATGTGTTGGTCATGGGACTTGAACTTGGGGCCTGGGCACTGTCCCTGAGCTCTTTTGCTCAAGGCTAGTGTTGTACCATATTAAGCCACAGCTCCCCTGCTGGCTTTCTAGTGGTTCATTGGAGAGAAGAATCTCGTAGACTTTGCTGTCTGGGCTGGGCTTGAACTACAATCCTCAGATCTCAGCCTCCTGAGTCACTGGGATTATAGGCGGGAGCCACCAGCACCTGGCCTGAGAATATTTGGCATACAGCTGACGCGGCGAGGGACACAGACTGAGTTTTGCCACCGCCAGCTCTGCTGTGCTCTGCAGAACGCTGACACTGAAGTTTTGTGTGAGGCTGTGGCCAGCACCAAGAAAACGGTGTGGGGGCCTGTGGGCCCTGCAGGGTCCCTGCAAGGGACTCCTCCACCAGGCCCCACTGCCCCGGCCCGGCCGGGTAGACGCTGAGGTCAAGAAGCCCCTGCACAGATGTGTCCAGTGGTACTGCGGAGAGGGTGAGGACATGGCCTTCCCCTGGCCCCCTTCACTGTGGAACAGATGCATGGAAACTGTTATGTGGTACAGAAAGCCCTGCCCTGAGATCAGACCTAAGGGACAGCGTTACTGAGAAAGACAGAGGCTGAGGCTCAGTTGGCAAAGAGACAGGAAAGACCAAGACCCTGGGGCCCAGGGGAGGCCTCTGCCTCCAACCGAGAGCCAAGACAGCGGAGGCTGCAGGACCGAGCAGTGGGGCTCAAGGAGGTCAACAGGGAGGTCTGTGAAGCTGACCTCAGCAGGTCTGGCCTGTCACAGGCCTCTGTAGGGCTCCCAGGGGTGACAACAGCCCTTCATCCCCGGAAGGGGAGAGAGGCCCGCCGATCTGAAGCGCTCTGTGTTTGCAGCATTGTAACTGAGCCCAACATATCTCCTCATGAGTCGATGTCTCATTCTGCAAACCCTGAGACTGCTCCCTGACCTGGCCCTAGCCACACTGGGACCATGCTGGGCCATGTCAGGGCTCCGGGGCAGATCCAGCACCAGCCTGGCACCTGCAGCACCTTCACCTCTGCCGTATTCAGGCCAGGTTGGTCCAAGGTCATGAAGAGGAACCATCATCCAACACCACACACTGCCTGTGCCAGTCAGACACCCCAGGAAAGACACAACAGGCCCAGTTAGTCTATCTCCTGCCTGTGCTGAGAATTCTCAGCATTCTACATCTAACACGGGGCTGTAAGCTGAAGAAATCAGCACTCAGACAAAATGTGCAAAGGAGCAAAAAGAGTTGCTTGGCCCATTAGTAGGTTTTATTTATAGACCAACTATTTCAGGAGAGCTTACATTCTTTGCTTCTTCTGCAATTATGCAGAATCTTGGGGAAAAAATTAAAAAGAAAATTGCCAGTGGATTTGCCATTGTATTATATTGTCAGGACATAATTAGGATTTCTGTAAAATAAATTTTCATTAGTTAAAAATAGAAGTGTGGAAACAAGGCTTGTATTGTTGTAACTTGAAATAAGATTAATAGGAACATTGCAGGTGTATCGATGATGGCATATTATCGCTTATTCAACAAAATATTGCTCAGAGCTGTGTGCCTTCCAGAGAGCTCAGCCAGAATTGGTCAGAAGCAAATGCAAACTAGCTGAGTTATTTTTTTTATTCTTCTAGCTGTGTGACTTTGTACCCGGTAAGTGCAAAGTCAATTCGAATGCATATTTTTGTTAGTAGTAAAGCAAGCCCAAGTTTTAGTGGGAGAGAAAGGCAGCTGAGCACCTCTCCCGACTGCATCCTGATTGCCCAAGTAACACAATGATTTTCTGGGTAAATTAATGCTTCGCTTTAGGGGATTTTCTGAGTCTGCTGACTCGGGCTGAAAGGGGGCTGGGCTTGTCCCATCGTTCACTCCCAGCAGGTGTTCCTCAATCCTGAGCCCCGGAGTCCTGGGGTCTCCCCTCTGATGAACTCTGTGCCTTGCCTTCTACAGCCCAAGTTCTTTCTGTGACAACATAGAGGTGACACCCCATCCCTAGCTCTTCTTTTCCAGTTCTGTTCTCTGGGCGCAGCTGCATTCACCTCAAACTCTCTGACATGCCTCGCCCACCCAGATTCTGGCTTCAGAGTCAGAGGGCAAGGATGGCTGCCCTGGCGAAGACAGGACCATCCACGACCACTGTCAGCCGCAGGGGAAGAAAGGAAGTGGGTTTGTACTGCTGGATTCTGCTTTGAGCTGGAGCACCCAGCCATTCCCTCCCACGACAAGAGCCACGGGAGTGGGAGGGTGCAGACCGAGCACTGGCAGGGCTAAGCTGAGGCACCTGCTGGGCCGACATCAAGGCTCCTTGGTGCTCTCCCGTGCAGTGATGTTTGCGTCCACCATGTTGGGCTTTGCTGGGACAGAAGGCTCCGGCTGGCTCCTAAGAGAAGGCCAGAAGTGAGGACTGCTCAGGCTGTGGGGTCACTGGAGCCATGGCAAACGGCCACCTTGTGCAGAGAGATGATGCTGCCGACTGGAGAGGCCCTGGCCCTGGACGAGAGCTCTGCTGCAGACGGTCAAGTTCACCTAGGAAGCGCCCCGTCCAGTGGGATGGGCTCAGGAAGAGGGCCACACCGGGGGTCATACACCAGGCTCAAGGAGGGCGCTGCTGAGAATGAGGAGGCTTGGGGAGGAGGGGTCTCCCTGGACAGTCAGGGGCCAGGAGAAGAGGGTCATCGGGACACAGGCCAGGGCCAGGCACGTCTGAGCCTCACAGGTGAGGCTGACCTGTGGCATGCCTTTTGGCAAACCATAGAAATGCTCTAGACCTTCTCTGCAGTAAACATGTGATCTGGACAGATCATTTCAAACATCCCAGAGCACCACAGTCCAACGATGCCACGCATCCTGCACGCTCAGACACCTCGACTCTGCAATCATTCACAGTCCTGCCTCTGAACGCCGCGGCTCCTAAAAATCTGATAAACCAGCTTCTTGTGTCTTCATCCGGCTTGTTCATAAACGTGTGCCGCAGGAGAGGCCCCCCAGCCAGGGCTCTGCCGGTACACAGAGAGCTCATCCCTGCTGGTGACGAGCAAGACCAGAAGCAAGACCAGATGTCCACAGCCCTGGCCCATCTCGCCTCAGTCTGTCGCAGTCTGACAGCTGGAGCCCTGCCTGTCACTAGTCGGTGTTAGAGGAGGTGCCCAGGAGCTGTGAAGCCCCACCGCTTCCCACACACCTGTGTGTCCCCCACAGCCACACTGATAACTGGGACTGCCCAGCGCTGTCAGCCGGTGGTGCCGGAGAGTGTGCACACAGAGCCTCCTGGCTGGGCCATCCCTGAGATCTTTGCTCCAAGCTCCTGACACAAAGTTTCAAACACATGTGGAGTGTCCGGAGGATTGTTACTCCCAGAGAGACCTGTAGGTTCTCCAGATCAAGCCATACCCAGCAGAAGCTTCCTGCAGTGACTGGGGGCACTGGTCGGCCCACAGCTGCCTTGTGACTTTCAGCTCCACCCACCACGGACAGAGGAAGCCATGGTCCTGGCTGGGGAGCCCCATGGCCCCTCAGGAGGGTGGCATGGGCCCAGGCTCCGGGGCAAGGCCTCCATCCTCAGGACCCCAAGAGACCTCACCCCCTCTCTCCCAAGGACTATTCCCGAAGGTCTTAAGCGTATCACTCTCAGTGCGTTCTGGGATCCTCTCTAGCAAATTGCCAAAGTTCAGGCAAGGCTGGGGAGCCTTGTGTGTGGCTAGAATGTTCCCCTAGCCGGTGAGCCCTAAGCCCATCTACCAAGGGGTGGGGCAGGATGGGCCTCGGGGTGTTACCAGCGAGGGGCTGTGCTCGTCAGAAGAGATGTAAGCTGGGAAGCGTGATCTCTGTGTCCCCCCGCCACGTGCTCCGGGCGACCACGGGGTGCTGCCGAGTCCTCGTAGGAAGGACCCCACCAGATCAGCCTGAGACCTCCAGACTGTGAGCTGAATGCGTCACTGCTGTTGTCAGATTGCCGCTGGCCTGTGGTGCTCAGCTACGGCACGAGCTGTGGACAAAGGCATCCAGTGACCCTACACGGTCCTAAGTCCAGGGCGCCTTCTTCCTCTCAGGAGGGCGTTTCACACCTCGAGTGATTCTGCAGGGACAGCAGGGCCTCTGGCCAGTGCTTGGCCATCCGGCTGCGCTTCTGAGGTACCAGCAAGGCTGCACTTTCAGGGCTCTGTGGTGAGATGTGAACCTGTGGAAGGCAGGTAGGACACATCCCTCACCTGGGCCTCCTTCTCTCCCCTCCCTTCAACACAGCAGGTAAGTCTGGGACAAGTCAGTCCTCAGCAAGCCCCTGGAGGAGGGAGGGGCCAGCTGCACCACTGTCCTAACGTGTTCAGATTGAAGTAACAGGAGCAAATAAGAACACCTGAGGATTGTTTAAGACTCTCCGGGCAGCCTCTGCCCTCAGGACTTTCTCAATTGAAATAATGCCTTTAAATAAATACCTAGCACAATGGCTGGTCTTAATGAGTACTGATATAATAAAAGAAGGAAGAGGAGGAGGAGGAGGAGGGGGAGGGGGAGGGAGAGGGGAAGGAGGAGGAGGGGGAGGGGGAGGAGGCGAGTGGTGATGGTGGTGATGGTGGTGGTGACAATGAAGATGCTGCTGGCGCTGATGGTGGTGGTTTGAAGATGCTGATAGTGGTGATGACGCTGATAATGATGATGGTGATAGAGATGCTGATGATGGTGATACTGATAGTAGTGATGTTGATGGTGACGATAACTTCACTGTCACTGTGAGCTTCTGACTATTCACTCTAGCTCTTCCCAGTTCATCTGGGAGAAATAACTTCCTCTGATTAATGGATGAGGAAAACCACTCTCTCTTGCTGCACAGAGGGCTGGCTGGGAATTGATCATCAAAACACCAGCAGCCTGTAGCT